AATGTTTGCATTTAATTGGCTTCATCAAAATGTCACAAGAACTGCTCGTCTGGTTGTAGAATATAAGCTAACCAGGGTTAATGTGTGTAATATTTTTTCTCGACATGTTCTAGTTGTTAGTTGTGCCTATTGACAATTATTATGGTGCAGGGTATCAGTTTGTACCTGGAACTTAGGTACATCACATGCATTTGGTGTGTTTGTTAATGGCAGGAAATTAGAGTAAATTTTGGTGTACTAGACTATTGTCTTATGACTCCATTTCGATGTTTATATTTAGAATTGCATACACACATAAACTGGTTCAGTCAGTTGCAATAGTTTTTAATTTGATATTTTGGTTCAAATCAACAACAAAAAAAGGAAGAAAGAAAAAAAGATAAAAATATATATAGTTTAACATCAGTATCTCAAAATTGATATGTATAGACTAGCTAACAGGGATATATGCTGAAGCAGGGATTTCAATAATTCTAAAGTAAAGAGGCAATTTTATCCATTTGAAGAGGCTGTTATAGAACTGCAATAGTTTATTTTGCCAATAATGAAAATTGAAGTGGCTAATTCCATTCATCGAAATGGTGAAAAATTGCCTTCTGTCTCCCCTTTTGAAAACCCTGCAGAAGTGAGTTTCAATATCTCAAAAAAACCTAAGATTTTTCAAGCTTTTTAAAACCAACCTTTTTATCAATCAAATTTCTATCATAATGATTGAATTTCCACAGTGTATTAATCAATACATAGGCACATATTACACTCTGTATGTTTGCTACTCAAGTTTAGTTTTTTTAAGTATGCAAGAAACTCTGTCACACAGAAGATTATACATGTACATGGGGGAACTGAGTATCACTAAAACGATACAGCAGATATGTTTTCTTAGTTTTTTGGAGAAATGTGTATTTTGAAAAAAAAATCATGAAGCTTGTGAATATAAAGTGTTCTGTCAAATTAACTAGTCTCAACAGAATAGTTTGAAGGTTAAGTCAGCAAGCCAGAATCAAAACAGTGAAGATTATAATCATTATAAGATAATCTATTATTGAATTCAGTAATGACATTAAATTATTCATGTTTGCTTCATTTTGAAAGAAATGTAGACATTATATTGGATGTTAATGTCAAGTATGGCATTGGTATCACACATTAATAATAATAATAAAAAAAAAATCATGTCCATTCAATAATCCAAGTAAAACCACAAACTGAGCAACCAATGTGGAGAATGCAATAATGTTACAAGTATATAACTATTACAATGTGAAAACAATACTTTTTATGTCTTATTGCAGATGTGATATGCTTAAAACGGATCCTATCCAATTTACCAAGTCACATTTTGTAGAAATAGCAGATTTCAGTTCTGAATGCTAAAGTGAGACTGAGAAATATTTTTTCATCTATGTTCTAGATTTGATATAAATGGGGTAAGTAAGATTCCAAAATAAAGTGTTAGAGAGTTTTCTGACTAAGGTCAGTTAGTCATTCAATGTCTGATGATTGTACACATTTATGAAGATCATACCATGATTTATACTCTTAAATATATATATATCTGTCTCCACACATCTAGAAATCTCTTAAAATCTAATGGGGTTTCAATTGCATGTAAACTTGTAGATTAATCATAGTTGTTTACTCTGACAAAAGTTGATGTAGACTAAGAATTACCGTTTATCATACTGCACAGTTTGGCTGCTTTAATCTCTCAGTACTTCAGAGATAGGTCTGCTCTTGACTGGGAGGACATCAAAGGCTACCTAGAACACCTGGGCACATGTTTACCTGCTTGTCTCCCAGATAAGTAAGTAGTATACATGTATATAACATAAACTGTGTGTTGTGCAAGGGATGATTGAATTTTCAAAGTCAAGGGGACAGGTTTAATTTTGTTTAATTACTGTTTATCCCATTGTCTACTGATTCAGTTCTTTTGTGCTGGTTGTGTTTACTTTTGAATCTCTTTGTCCTTTTTCAGAAAGAGTGAGAGGGAGAAAGAGAGGAGAAGGGGGAGTCTTGTGATTTTTCACTTAGTTCCCCTATGTACATCACTACATATATATTCACTCTTGTGACAGAGTTCCTTGCATGTATACTTCAAAAACTAAACTTGTGTAGCAAACTTACAGTATGTTATCTATGTATTGATTAATACACTGAGGAAATTTAGATCCTCCACTTCTATATTCATTGACAATGGGAGCTATACAGAAATATATTGCTGCATCCATGGACCAGTAGGATTCTAAAATAATTTTGTATAAATATGAAATCACCTGACTTTGGTGAATACCTAATTTTTTTTTTTTTGGGGGGGGGGGGGGGGGCATCAGCTGTAACATAATTTTTTGACTAGCAAGAGAAAAAAAAACCTTAACAACTTGCCCTTTCCTGAAAATCCTGGGGGTGGGGGTGGACACTTTCCTTAGTCCATTCTCCTCTGATAGATTACTCTACTTACTGATTTTGCAAGTCTGTGTTTTAAGGGGTGGGGGTGTCAAAGGCCATGTTTTCCTTCCTGTTACATAGAAATTAATAACTCTGAAAATTCCAGCCCCCCTCCCCGATCTGCTCATTGATGTAAGAATATTAAACCAGGGTAATTATTTTAAAGTTTTCTGTTTAAGAGTTTCTTATACTCAAAAAAATATAACATATTTATTTAATTTTCATTACCAAGCATATTCAACGAAATATATTTTAAGAAAAGATTGAATTTTTAAGTTTAAAAAGTTGTTAGCGATTAAAATGCTATACAAACTATAACGTTTTTATTCTGGAACAATTCATGAAAAGTCAATTTATCAACATTCTAACATTCAGCAAAAAATAATTGTTGACTTGAACTGCGTTGCTTTTCGTAGAAGACGGATTTCTTATAAACATAAATAGGAATTAAAGTAGGGGTACCATTTGGTACCCTATGTTTAGAAAAAAATGACATTCTCCAATCTTTTCAATCTGCCTTCAAGTAAATATAAGTTATTAAAAAGCTTTTAGTATTTGTAACAATAATTTCCTGTGTTCCCTTCATATCGGGATTGATCAGCTAAGCTACAAACACTGTACCTTTATGAATGAGTACAAAAAATTGTGAATGAACTTTCGTGACGGTTATAATCAAGTTCCTGAAATCACATTCTAATGATGATTTCACACCACCTGGTTGGGTAAATAAGAAAAAATAGCTTACAACCGTGCTAAAGAAAATAACTCTTAGTACATCCTTCCCGACACACTATTACCGTTCTCAACGCGGTTTACACAAGATTTTTTTTTCATTTTCTTTTCTTCTTTTTTTTTTAAAAAGAAGAACAAGAGAAAGAAAAATTGATTCGAGGAAAGTTTATTCAGCTGTGATTTTCTTGAAGGGGAAAAATCACTATAGATATAAAGAATATTTGAGACAATTTGGAGGATATTTTAAATCCCAATTAATTTAAAGACAATAAATACATTTTTGAAAATAGATAGTCCGAGTTTTTAAACAAAATTCATTGTCTTGAATCGTTGCCAAAATACGTAATTTCCCTATTATATAAAAGACAATGGACAGATTTTTGAGAATCGGTAGTTAGAATTTTTAATTGTGTTCCTTCTACATGTAATTTCAACAAAAGAAATGATTATTATCAACCACTATCGGGAACAAGGAAAACTGAAACCGCTCTATTTTTTTCCGTACACTAAGTACAATGTTTTCAGGAAATAATGTGTAGATTCCTATCAATACTGCTTCCGTTTTATTGGTTTTAGACCCAATATACCACGACTTGTTAAAACATAAAAGAAAAAATGTTAATTGAACAAGACTCCTGTTTTCCAAGCGATCGCCACGAGTAGACGGTCCCGATTACTGTGGCCATGCTCAGGATTAGGGCTTATTATTTTTTCCTCTTCAAAGTGCGCCTACAAGACTGAAATTCTAAGTCCCAAGATCACGTCATGATGTCTGGAATTTCTCTAGAAAAATAAAATAGAGTTCTGGGTCCAAGAATTGACTGAACACAATATAGATCAACGTTAAAATTAGGTACATGAACTGAATTATCACACATATATGTTTTCATTTCGCTCTTTTGCCCTTTGGGTGATTAGTGCAAAGGAAATTTTGCAAATGAACATTTAGATACTTCGTATATGTAGGTGTTTAAAGATTCTTTTAAAATTTCTAATATGGATTTATTTTCATTCTAAAAGTTTACAAAGTAAACCCGTATACTAATATACGTAGTTCAGGAGGTAGAAAAATTGAGTAGTCGTAAAATATCGATTTCAAATATTGAGGATTTATCTTTCCTTTTTCAGAGGCGGAAAAATACTTCAAACAGTAATTGGATTACGATACTTAGCTTACGTAAACTGATTAGGCGGGGATTTATGGATTATGAGAATTAAGATAACGGCAAGATGTCCCGAGTAAGGTAAGGTCTTATCCATGTCGGAATTACAATTACTTCGGCTAATTTTGAAGGACTTTATGGCATAATGACATTTTATTTTTACCTCCTTTTATGCGGGTAATTTTGATTTTATGCGACATCCCCGGTGCATACCAGTCTTCCTCCAATTAATAATGTATATTTTATGTGTATTCTTTTAGACGTGCTGTGCATTTTAGTTTTGTGGCAATAAATTATGTACGAGGTCTTTACCCTGCATTTTCCCTCGGTCTTTAACATTTATACATGAACTAATCCACTGTGATACCGCGTGTACGTACAGGGTATTATTTTACTTTTATTACATAATTAAAGAATCGTTTATCTTTCTCGCATGTACAAGATATCAAACGGTTTTCTATCGGATAATTTACGATAAAATAGCATACGCACGTGGAGGCAATACAAACTCATTGATAATATTGTCAAGTCCCGCCCAGCGATGACAAGTGGTCCAATCACGAAAGTTAGTAGGTGGGGTCTATTTTGTTTTCTGTCCAATGAGTTATCCATCGCCTTAAAATTGCTAAATGGTTGGTCGCTTTCGAGGTTTAGATCGTTTGTAATACTAACGTTCTCAAAGTCAACAGAGGAAATTGATATTCTTTCAATGTTTTCTGTAGAAAGAAGCGTGTCAGCTTATGATCGCATGAAAATAAGAAAGTTTGCAGTTAATGGAATGAAATACTTGGGAGGTGTACACAGGATTTTAAAAATTAACCTGTCTGTGGAAAGTTAAAATTCATAAATCCTGGATATTAAACATACATTGCACGCGGAGTTCATCATATGATTAAATGTGTATTGTCTGTTTTCGTATCACTAACAACGTGTGTCAGGAAGGACTTGCATTATTTTAAGAGTTCATGGAATAAACGTGCATTCGTTTATACACGAAAACAAAATAGCAAAGCCGAGAAAAAAAATTATAGAAGATTTTTTAACGTTTCTTAAATACTATGTGACATGTTTGACATGACTTTGACAATTTTTGCATATTCTTAGGATTTATAAATTCTGTAAGTGTTTGGTGGATCCATTAGGAGCGTGATACGATGGGGTACAGTGTGATTTGCGGACTCCTGTGGAGTATTTTCATGGCTAATCTGAATTTCTCCTCCAGCACCGGTAAGTGTGAGAATATTCATTATGTGCCTCTGTTTGTATACTTGCAATCTACACAAGAGGATATTGTACTCTCCAGGACCACTTGACTTGACCTAAGTCAGAGAGAAAAAAATATATAACTACTTGTGCGACAATAGATTACAATTAAAGTGTTTTTACCTTAGGGAGAGATCAAGGGGTTTAAGTCCCCTGAAGTTTTCGTTACGATCTTTAATTGACGACGTTTTTTTTTCTTTGCAAAACGTTTCTTTGCATACACGGCAAGCAAGGTCTTTTTAATATTTTTCCCTCCTTCGATTCACCTTTTATTGAATGTGTTATAAATGGGTTGCCATCTATAGTTCATAAAACTAATTGTTTATATGGAGTTTAATTTTACACACCTGCCCCTGTGTATTGACGCTCTGTTCGGCAAGATAAATGTTCTCTTGCGGTGTAAACCATGTGCTCTCAAATAAGGACTATCGATTTTTTTTTACTTCTAGTAAATGCAAGATCAGAAATATTAAGTGATTTGCAAACATTTAATAGAATTTTGCCTTGATAAATACAGAAGTTAGGCAAAAGTGAATTTTTGCTATTAGCCCCAAGATCGCGATCGGTCGCATTACGTTGTTCATGAGGGCAATAATTGATCAAATTTGTAAGAAATTGATTAGGTCTTGTTCTTTTACTTAAGGGGATTGTCATAAACTTGTTTACTAATGTTTTACGTTCCCTCCTTTTATTTGCCTTTTTTACCATGTAAGATATAAAGCTAGAAGGCATGCTGTAAATTAAAAAGGACTCCATCATAAAACTCGGACATCAAAGATAAAAATTATGATTTTAGCCAAACAACATAATGACAATAAGGTTTTATTAGTTTTTAATGATTGGACCCACATGTTAGAAATTGACCATTACCTCACCTGGGCTTTTGAAGTGTCCTGTTAATTTCACCTCTACATTTTCTACAACTCCTTCATGTTATATCAGGTCTTGTTCAAGTTGTTAAACTTCACTTTACAACAACCTGTCATTTTTATTCACTGGTTACTCATCAAGAAAATTATTCATCAATTCATGCAAAAAATTTGTTTAATTCTAGGATTTTTCCAGGAGAAACATGTTTTATGTAACATCTTTACAACATCAATATCTTATTTTAAAAAGTTCATTTTTTTCAACAATTATATCAGAAAAAAAAATAATTTCCCCACAAAGGAAATCAATTATGCCACTGCATTGATTGTGGAAAAAATACAAAAAAATAGTGGTTATAAATTAAAGAAACACACTTTGATATATGGGTGTGCTGATTCTGATGAGAGAGAAAAAGAGGTTGGAAAATTAGTCAAAGGGTGTGTGAGGTCTTTAAGGTGAAATGGTATCCAGTCAGTGGTCCTAAGGGATTTAGTGGTGTACACTGGGAATTGCGCCTCATGCTGCTGATGTTTATTGTGATGAGGGGGGCTGTTTGTTTTTGGGAGCTAATGATGGAAATTATAGAAGAATCTGTAAATCCCTTTTATTTTTGTCTGTAGGCTTTTCTTCCTCGCAGGAATCAAATGCAATCTTCCCGTAATTGTATTGCTGAGTTGAAAGACTTCTGTTTCTATTATTTACGATAAATAGGAAAATAAGATGGAATGAAATCCGACTTGAATGTGAGTCGCTGCACTCTGTTGCACATTGCTACAAAGGAGGGAATAGCTTCTTGATACTAAAAACATCGTTGAAACAGATGGCTTCACTTTTATCATGCATAAGTTAGAATGAATGAAATGAGATGTGTCTTAATTTAATTACACAGATAGTCAGCATTATTTGAAAAAAAATTCTGCAATTAATGAATTGTTTTATAAGTTGCCCAAATGAGAAACAAGAAAAAAAATAGCACTGGGGGTCATTCATTTTAAAAACTCTCAGAACAGTATAACACATCACTGCACATAGCCAGGAATTATATATGTGTACTTTGAAGATGAAATGTTCGCTGAAAGGAAATTAAATTTGTAAATAAATTGAAACACATTGCCAAAGACAATGACTGGCTAATCACACTGTTTACAGCTACTAATGCCGACTGAACTCTCCCTAACCCCCCTCTCCAACTTTTCAAACAAATTCGTAAGGAATGGATGGGGCTTTGTAGATAAAAGACATGTTTTCCTAGACCACATGCCCCAATCAGATGTATTTACACATCATATTCGTAATAAGCAGAGCATCTGATTTATCTCAGTCGCTATGTCTGTTTCTTTTGTAAGTTACTCCTGATTTTGTAATCCATTTTATCCCCCAGTGGAAAGTCAGGACCATTTAGAGCATTGTCTTTAAAACAGTTTTAAAAGCAGTTCAGTATTAGGTTTAGAGGAAAGAAAAGCCTTAATTTGTAGAATGCATTGATTAACATGAATATTGAAAGTGATGCATGTTTAGTTGCTATTGATAACTATAGAATTACATTGAAAAGGGCATTGTGCATGTCAAATGTTGGAAATGATATCTGGAAAGTCCACAATACTAATGTAATGATATGAAAGAAGAATAGCTCATCTATTTCAAATTTTGCTGTTTTAATGGAAAGGCAAGATTTGCTCACCATGGCTAATGCTGACAATTTTCATTGTTGCAATTTATGAATTTTTTTTTTTCAAAAAGCAGTGATAACATCAATTCTTTGCTAAAAATGATCCGGATATGTGAAATTTTAGATACACCTCAAAGCTCATGTAATCGCCCAAACAAAAGCAGAATTCGACCACGCAGAATACTTTAGTCGAACCTTGTACCAACATTGTCAAAACGTGTGCAGAGTTTTACTGCATTTCCAGGTGTCATGCTCGGGGCTGAATGTTTACAGTCCTAAAAAATTATATTAATCTGCTTATGAATAATTTAGGGCAGAAAAATTGGATTTCTTTAAAAAGAGTTTTTGTCCAGATCAGTTAATTCTTCTTAATGTGGGCAGATGATCTTCAAACTTTTGTAGTATCAGTCTCAAGGATTTGACTCTGCTCTGAATTTTAAGGATTTTGTGGGATATTTTTAAAAAAGTATAAACATGATAACAATTGTTAGTCTAAGATCTAGTATATTATGTATGTTAGAGAGCTTGAGAAAAAAAAAAGAATTTTTTGCTAAAGCAATTTCAATTCCAAATGTTTATGTAAGAAGTGTAGTTTAAGGTCATTAGGCAAAAATAACAAGATCAAATTGGTATGATAGACCAAAGTCGAAGGTTAATGGGTGCCCAAAAGACAGAAACGTGTTTCTGGTGCCAATTAATAGACAGGGACAGAGAAAACAAGTTTGTTTTCTCATTCAATGAACCATTTTCTGTTTCATGATTTCGGCAGCAAAAAAGTCATACCCCCCTTTGGCAGATGTTTTCTTTGCCGACTCGCGAAATAATTGTTTAACCGTGTAAGTCTTTGGTAACCTGGTTCAAAATTCATAATCCACATGATAAATGACTTTACACCATGAAAAGTGTCAGGTGCAAGTTATTTTTCTCTTCCACGAATATTTGACATGCTAAGATGCTTTCTAACCACATCGTGGATTATGTAGATTATGATTGTATGTAGAATCTTTGGCAAAAGAAGAGTATGGTTTGCACAGCATGGTATCGGGTTAATTCACAATAAATAGACTATCTCTTTTGCAAGTTAATTATTGTAGAATTATTAATAAATTGGAAAGGTAGGTATACCACTAGTTTTGAACTGCAACTTGATTGGCAAAAATGCAGTTAATTCCTCTCTCTCACCCCCACAGAATGTTGATTTTGCAGTCACAGTGAAAGTCAGATGTCTGTGATTTTTGCTGACAACAGAGGAAAAGTATCTTGAATGGTCCTTTAATGGACAGTTAAGATGATCTAACACTATCGCAGGTGCAGGGGCTAACTGGAAATCCTCACCTAATCCCGCCAGCTTAGAGACACCACAAGGTTCTCTGCTGATAAACTACTCATGGCACACATCTTTAGAGATATTTATTTCTACATTAGAGATTTTTGTCAACATGAGAAACTTCTATTGGCGAGATTGACTCCATGTTTAATGAAAGGGAAGTGAGAAAATCGTCTTTATTAAGTGGGTTGAAAAAGCTGTGGCCTGTTCTTTTTTACTTTTCTATAGCATGTTCATTGAGATTTTCCCTCGGATGGCTGCCTTTCCACAGATGCCTGTTCAAATAATCCCAGCTAGCAGCCATACAGCATTTTTAAAAGTGAGCCGACTGTAAAATAAAGGTCATATTTTGTCAATTCACCATAATACCCTTGTGCCTTTGAAGATGCATACTCGATTGTCCTTAGAAGGCCAAATAATATTATATCCATTGATCCAGCTTTTCTGATAGTGGGATCAAAAATGTCTCAAAACCGCATTAGGACGTTTTGTGTGTGAAAGGAAAGGAGAAATGGAAGAAGTGTTTACTGCATTCCGTAGTAGGGGTTCACTTTGACATTTGCATTAAGATGAATTAATTGATCACAAGAAGCTCTTAAGATAAGTAATGATAGTAAAACACATGAAGGTCTCGTAAATAATACAAGATCACAGAGTGGTATGCAAATGACCCCATGTAAGACATAATATGAATGAAGTCCCGGCAGGAAATGCAGAAGATAATCAGGCAGTAAAAATCAGGGGATGATACAACTTATTAATGGAGATGATTCTTTTCGCCTGTTTACTTTCCCTGAGAAGTTAACAACTGGTAGCCATTAGCCTCTCCCCTGCCCATTCACTGTCTTGGTGTGGAGGGGGGTAACAAAGATAAGGGAAAGGCAGATCTTTAGTGCTAAATGAACCTTATCTCTCCACAGAGAACTGCATCTTGCAGGATATGTTGTGTTATCTTTATAAAATGGTCATTTAGTGATAATATCTTTCAGCGTGCACTTGTGAGAAAGGCTTTCTAGTTATGTTATGGATCATTTTTACCAATTTTTTGTAACATGCTTAATTACAACAGGGAGAAAAGGTTAATGAAATTCCATTTTCATAATCCAAAAAAAAAAGAGAGATTTTAAACATTAGATAATGTCTACCACAACTTTTTTGAGAGAAAAAATTACTCATATGTAGGCGTTTCATGGTTATAGTCATAAATAAAATTATTTATGAGGTATGCAACACATAGGCATTAAATTAGTCTTAATAATAATTGCAGCTGAATGATTCATATATTTTGGTCTTCTTTGAATTATAAGTGTATGTAATTATAATCAAGGTTCTTTTGATTTAAGATGAGCCATGTATCTCAGAATAGTTGTGTATGATGTAAAAGAAGCTAATCATATTAAAATTCAAGGGTCGTGGTTTTTACTAGATAATTTACATTGAATCGGAAGCAATTTGTCGTTTCAAACCTTTCCCTTCTTTGCAGTGTGGGGTCTACACTCTAGAATGCTAATAAGTAACATGGCATTTTAAGAAATTATTTATAGTACAAAGAAAAAAGACAGACTGAGAGTTGTCAGAAGTGATATTTTTGAACAGTTTTCAGAAAATATATGCATCCATAAGCTAAGTTTTAGAAATTACATTCTCATTACATTGCTGATTAGGTTTTTTTTTGGTGTTAATACATTTACAATTTCTTTTCTTTTTCTAAGTTAAGTAGCAAGTCTTTCATTGCACATATATAAGATATGACAAATGGCTACATGACCTGCATTGAACAAACTATAAGCAGACTTCAACATCAAAGAGATGTGTGAAACACCTGACACAGTTGTGAGCACATCAACCTTCTCTTTACAAAACCACTTTACATGGTACAAGTGCACAGTCTTACAACACCTCTCCAGGACAGAATGCTAAAAAATGTAGCTTCTATCTCCGATTTTATCTACAATGAGATGTTCCCAGGTTTTTGGTGAGGAGAGATGATCTGTTTAGTTATATAGGTTGGATGTGCAGCTGAAGTTTGGATGGTATAGATAATAGATTCTTGTTATCACCTACCTACTAATGTGCTAGATCTTTCCCAGGGGCTTTGTTGTTGTCTTATGAAGTACATAATACTATTAGTAACTGGACAAATTATCAGCTCATTGTGGCATTTGTAGAACAAGGCTCTACCAGTTAAAGTCACACCTTACCCTGCAGAGCAAAGAAACATCTGATGAAGAAAAGATTCAATATCTCACTATGCTTCTTTATGTCAAGCTGATGGCTTCATTTCTTAACATCTGGCAAGTTATGTCATAAGAACCTCAGAAATATGAATGTTTAAAACATTAAAGAGTATAGCCAAATGCACTTGGCTTAGAGTCCTGTGGTGTACAAGAAGAGATGGCTAATAGTGCAGCTGATGTACTAAGACCTCAACTCGCTGAGACTTTTGGAGGGAAAACTGCAATTTACTGCACACATGGTGCAGCATACTGTGATACAAGAACTGAGCACCTGGGTTATCTCTGGCAACCCTAATGAAAATTGATTTGGAAAAAATCCCCCCTGAAAGAAAAAATGTAATTTGAAATTACTATCTCTCTGCTGCCTCTTCCAAGGAAAATCTGAGAGCTAATTCAATCAAAGTTTGCTTGTGATGAACAGCTCTTACACAGGTTTAATGACATGGGTCAGGTAGTGTATAACATCAGTTGCTGAAGAGTGGTTTAAATTCCAACAAAAGTTACTCTTGATGGATCTGAATGTCAAAAGCCTGTGAACGGATGTCCTATCTGGTTGTCCAACCATCTGTGAGTTGTAACACAATCTCAGGAAGTTCCCCAATTCCCTCACTACCAATGGGTCAGCCTAAATACCAGTTAGGATGCCACATTAATCAACGTTTCTAATCTGTCCAGGAGATCTGCAAATCCAGCATGCAAGCTACCAGGTTGTTTGCTGTGAAAGAGATGTATGAGGATGGAAAAATGAGATTTTAATAAATATTCTGATAAATGAGGGGGGTATCCTATTTACTTTTGTTTTTGTTTGCCGTAGTTGTTTACTGTTGCCAAGGTTATGTTCTGGGAAATTTGCAATATTTCAAGCATTAATCATAATCATTTTTTTACCATGGGAACCCTTATCCTCAGATGTAATTAAATTGTACCTTTTAGACTAATTTCTTAATTTTGTGGGAGAATTTGCTCATCCTTTGAAAATTTATGCTATGTTGATTAGAAGAAATAAAAATCCACTGATTCATCATAATAATTTTCTTTGAAGTCAACCAAAAAGTATATAAAATCAAGAAATGATACCTACAATTATTCACAAAGAGCATTTCACATCTGAGTTGTTGTTACATTTCAGTAGGTATTTAAAACATGATCATCTAGGCTATAAGCATCATTCTTTTTTGCCAGAGCTTTCCAAGAACTTTGCAGGGATTATAAATAAGTAGAAACTGTCAACAGCTAGGGGTCTGGAGAGTTAGTTTTTATGTAAGTTCAGACTCTGAAGAAGGTGTTTTCTGAGACACCTCAGACCACACTGCTGACAAGTTGATCTATTTTTAATGTAATTAAAGCTCTCGTCATGCCATCTAAGACGTTCTCAGAGAATCAGAATTATGAATTATTTATTGGAATTGTAGAAAAGAGATGTTTGCGTTTTTTTCGTACTTAAGTGCAATTCACGGCGATTTCTATGAATGTAAGTGTGTAAGGTGCTAGTAATGGAATACAATATTGAATAAGCTAGCATTTTGATATATACTCAAGTGACAGCCAAGAATATGACTCATATTGTATTGTTTAGCTTTTTGGTTAAAATATCTTTGTTATATCCCTCTTGAAAATGTT